TGAGAGTGTGTAAAACTGTGTGATCTATTAATTTATCTCTCGGTAAATTGTTGGCCGCTTATTTAACCTGTTTAGTTGATTGGGAATTCTAGTTCGAAATCCAAAATCTTCTCCCTATACAGCTTTTGCCTTCTAGCGTGTCTCAAAGGCCCCCCCATATCTCTTTATATCCCAGCTATAAGTCGTGCGATTTGGACCATCAATATGATCAATTTTCCAGATCATTCTAGACAGTGCAGTGCGTTTTTTTATTAAAATGAAAGGGGGTAGATTTTTCATGAAATCATATTAGGATTTTTTTTACAGGAAAACTGACTTCATAATATTGTCCTTCATGGATTCCAACCCCCATGCATGCATATATGTAAATTTGCATGTGATTCCAAACAGTATTTTTGCGAACGTAAACAAATATTTACTCGGAAACGGTGAGTGCAACATAAAATAGTATATCTTGTTTATTTAATCATGATTTTCTAACTACCAGAGCCACTGAACGTTCCAAAATTTGCAGTTAATTTGAATTCAATATTTTTTCGGGGCTGAAAATGAAAAAAATTTTAACCAATTCTGTTAATTCGGAATGAGGTGATTTTTAGCATATACTGGAGGTTCGAAAGCATGGAACAATAATATGAAGTTAGTTTGAGTTACCATGGACTTCTCCCAAAGATTATATGAAGTTATTTTTCTTGCAAAAAAATTCCTAATGATTTCATGAAAATGTACCCCTTTTTATTTCAATAAATACGCACGGCACTGTCCAACGTTTGTCTTTGAAAAACTGATATATTCATTGAAACCTAGAAGGAATATTCTCAGATATTATAATTATGAACATAAAAAAATTGATATACATATATAAAGGTATACATTGAGAATTCGTATTCTCTTTGTGATGAAAATATCAATTCTTTCTCGGTTTATTCAACAGAAATCAACTACTTTCCTGGCTATATGCCACGACGAACATTGAATTATATCTATTGAACACACACGATAAGAATTTGAAAACAAAATCTTCTGAAGAAGAGAATTTGCATTCTTCTTCATATAAAGATATGTATGTACATGATATCATTCTGAATATTCAACATAAAACAACTACTTTCCTGGCTATTTGCCACGTCGAACATTGAATTATATCTATTGAACATCCAAAAAGCGAGCATGAAAAATGAAATATAATATATTATGATATGAAAATATAACTTACCAATATGTTCAGTATTGAAATGAAAATTGAAATGTGTAGGAGAAATATACTTGTATGAACTCTGATCTTGTTGAGCTGATTCGTATCAGTGATATGGGAATGATATCTGAATCCTCATCAGTAACCTGAAGTCCAGTTATGATTTGTTGACATACTCCTGTCATCTGGGCATTTGTTTTTGGATGTATGATGAATTGATATTCATACAGGAAAGTTGTTTTCTGCTGAATATTCAGAATGATATTTATTATGTACATATCTTTATATGGAGGAGAATGCAAATTCTCTTCTTCAGGAGATTTCGTTTTCAAATTCTTATCGGCAGATTCGTGATTAGGTTTTCTCACTTCAGAATTTCTTTCCACGTCCTGTATGAATATAATTGAATATCAATACATTATACATATTCATATTGACATATTGATGGATCCAAACTTTTTACGAATCGCATGACTAAAAGCTGAGATATAGAGGGGGGGCATTCAAAGTGAGACACGCTGTAGATACAAACGAATCTGGATTTACATTGTACGTTCCGAAATTGAACCCTGTTTTCAATTCTATGAGCATTTTTGAGGTATCGAATTGAAATCCATAATAAGGCTGAATGAACTTTCACTCAGATTTGTTAATGAGATAACTCTAAACAAATTTTCTTGGGAGTATTTTTTTCTATTAATTGTATATGCCCTGTACTATTCCATACGCACACATTATACGGTAATACATTTCAATATTGAAAAAGTTCATGTTTCAATGATTTGATTTTATGAAATCACTCGCGTAAAGCGGTAAAGCGATCAAAGCGATCAAAGCTTATTTCTGTATCTGTTGAATTGGTATATGGTAATCGAGGTTTTGTTGTACTGGATTTTGCATTCTACCTATATAAAAGAAGAATTCCTATTACGAATTAATTACAATTTCAGCTTTATGAAAGTTGTCATATTGTTATTATTGTATATTATTATTTGGTGAAGAGGATATATGTGTAAACTGTACCGACTGTATAGTTACCATTACCATTTCAAATATTTTGAAAAAAACATCGTTGTTTCGAGTAAATTTTTGTATATTTAGTTTATTTCATATAATTTATAGTTTTTGATTAGCTAATGTTCATACTCCTTTTGAGGTTTGAGATATTGATTATTTTATGATATTATTGAAGATGCTCTGATTTTTTCCTTGCGTGTAATTGCATTTTTCATAGCAGAATTGGCAGTAGGAAGCAGTTGTTTTTACATTGACAGATCCATAAAAATTCTCATTCTGATAAGTCGTTTAGCCACGTTTAGCCACTAATCTGTGGTTTAGCTTCATTCTTAAAAGTATACGCCTTATCACTTTTTTCGAGAGTATAAAACAAATTGATTGTTTTTACACAAGAAATTGGATCTGTTTCATAGATCATAGCATCACAAAAATTTGTTGAATACCCAAAACCTGAATTTCAGCAATATATATATCTCCTCTGTCACCAGACTATTGCGAACAATGAGTCCACATCAAAGAAATATTTGCACCGTTGCAGCGCTCAACTTTGTCATTTCTGATAGAGTTATGATATAATGTCTTTGCGTGTTACAAAGTACTAACTAACAATATAATTATCAAGATGCTCAGTGCACTCGTTATAGAGCTATTAAAACTGAAAACAAACTAGAGGTAGCTAATTAACTTCTTCAATTTATTATTTACTGCAGTTGTTTTTACACAAGATATTGAATCTGTTTCATAGATCATAGCATCAGGATTACCCTCCAACTCTCGACAGGTCTCACACAAATTTGTTGAATACGCAGAACCTGAATTTCAGCAATAGATATATCTCCTCTGTCACCAAACTATTGCGAACAATGAATCCACATCCAAGAAATATTTGCACCGTTGCAGCGCCCAACTTTGTCATTTCTAATAGAGTAATGATATGTCTTCGCGTGTTACAAAGTACTAACTAACAATATAATTATCAAGATGCTCAGTGCACCCGTTATAGAGCTATTAAAACTGAAAACAAACTAGAGGTAGGTAATTAACTTCTTGCATTCATTATTTACTGCAGTTGTTTTTACACAAGAAATTGAATCTGTTTCATAGATCATACCGTCAAGTTTACTCTCCAACTCTCAACAGGTCTCACACAAATTTGTTGAATACCCAAAACCTGAATTTCACACCAATAGATATTCCTCCTCTGTCACTATAATGTCACTGTTGCGTACAATGAGTCCACATCAAAGAAATATTTGCACCGTTGCAGCGCCCAACTTTGTCAATTCTGATAGAGTTATGATATAATGTCTTTGCGTGTTACAAAGTACTAACTAACAATATAATTATCAAGATGCTCAGTGCACTCGTTATAGAGCTATTGAAACTGAAAACAAACTAGAGGTAGGTAATTAACTTCTTTCATTTATTATTTACTGTAGATGTTTTTACACAAGATATTGAATCTGTTTCATAGATCATAGCATCAGGATTACTCACCAGCTCTCAACAGGTCTCACACAAATTTGTTGAATACCCAAAACCTGAATTTCAGCAATAGATATATCTCCTCTGTCACCAGACTTATTGCGAACAATGAATCCACATCAAAGAAATATTTGCACCGTGCAGCGCCCAACTTTGTCATTTCTAGAGTAATGATATGTCTTCGCGTGTTACAAAGTACTAACTAACAATATAATTATCAAGATGCTCAGTGCACCCGTTATAGAGCTATTAAAACTGAAAACAAACTAGAGGTAGGTAATTAACTTCTTGCATTCATTATTTACTGCAGTTGTTTTTACACAAGAAATTGAATCTGTTTCATAGATCATACCGTCAAGTTTACTCTCCAACTCTCAACAGGTCTCACACAAATTTGTTGAATACCCAAAACCTGAATTTCACCAATAGATATTCCTCCTCTGTCACTATAATGTCACTGTTGCGTACAATGAGTCCACATCAAAGAAATATTTGCACCGTTGCAGCGCCCAACTTTGTCAATTCTGATAGAGTTATGATATAATGTCTTTGCGTGTTACAAAGTACTAACTAACAATATAATTATCAAGATGCTCAGTGCACTCGTTATAGAGCTATTGAAACTGAAAACAAACTAGAGGTAGGTAATTAACTTCTTTCATTTATTATTTACTGTAGATGTTTTTACACAAGATATTGAATCTGTTTCATAGATCATAGCGCCCTGCTGCTTCTCGCATCTTACCTGATACTCTTTGTTTATGCCACAGGACAGTTTTGTGTCACTTGTCATTGAAGACATACTTCACGTATCCCATGTCAAGTTAACCTATCCCTTCTTCACCGCTCTATCGCGTCATGTTAACCTTATTGACTCTCATGATGGGCCCCATTCTATCTTTGATCAATTGGATGAACAAGTGTTGGGATCCTCTATAAAGCACCCTTTGGGCCATGGGCAATTTGCCCTTCATTATTTATTTTTAATAATGTAAATTGTACCATTAATATTATTGTTGATGCCTTTCTTTTTTTCATTTCCACGTGAGTATACATAACATAAGGTATAACATTTGTAACTATATAAAAAACTGTTCTTTGTAGAAATTGTCATTCAAAATATCCTTCTGCTGATGATGGACTATTGATAGTCCGAAACATGTTCAGACACTGATTATTCAGTTAATAAATTTGTGGAGATGACTTAGTGTGTCTTGTTTATGAATATTAGATAGATCCTCTCATTTGCATTGCATAGCAGGTTGAAGATCGATGATCTACAGATGAGAAAATTTGCACTCACCTGTGTCTCTGTTACATTCAGCAGTTTGGCCATTTCTGATCTCTCGCTGCTACTGAGATACTTCTTCACCTCGAACTGCTTTTCTAATTCGAAGATCTGTCGGCCTGTGAACGTAGTTCTCGCCTTCTTCTTCTTGTTTTTACTGTCCGCGTCTTCGGCCATTGTTTCTATGTCTACTTGATTCTGAATGAGAATGGGTATTATGGCTGCAGGTTGTTTAGGATCAGGGACATCTTTGGTCTTTTTTTTCTTTCGGGTCGGTTCTGCAAGATACAAGTATCATCATCCACCAAAAATTAGTTGCTGCTATTCATTATATCAATGGTGAAGTACGATATTTGATTTGAATATTCAACACTCGATTCAACATGTGGAGGCTAATTTATTTTCCATAGAAAAAAAACATACTGTACATATTCGAAATGATCAATATCCTGAGGGAAAGAAGTCGAAAACTGCAAGAATTCAGTATTCTAGTCGTCATTAAATGAGCTTCTTGAATTACACTGAATGCCAAATTGAATATCGAAAGTAATCTTGAGGGCCAGAATATAGGAATTGAGTGGAAGAATTGAGTAATGTATTGAAATCGAATTATACCTTATTCACCACCCTGTAAGTCGATCGAAATCACATGCATTAATTCATACTAATCCCTTCAGTGTACACAGGAAATCTCAGAGATATATCTATGATCTATTAAAGATATTCAACTGTTTTTCATTTAAGAAACAACACCCTTATTTACCCTTTACTTTATCCAACCGTTTTGGAGCATTTGTTCATCGAATGCGATTCATCGATTTCTATAGAATCCAGAATTATTAAAAACTTGATCACCCTGTTTATACATGGTGTCCCGAAATCATCCTGCCAAACTTCACCAGCGGCTTCTTCTACCAAAAATAGTAAGAAAAGTCTCAATGGACATCCATAATATCTGGGATGTAACAATATTTTTGAATCGATTTTACTCGAAAATGATACATCTGGTAGATACGGAACAAGTGCACCTTTTTTCTATTAAGAGTTGTACTTTTCCTAATCCGAGATTAAAATGTCGAAAACTATACATACAAGAAAGTTCGATTAATATTTAATCTAGTCCCACCCTGTATTATAGACTCCTGAATAAAAGGACCCCGCTGCACTATAGGGAAAATGACTCTCTATGAAAATCGCTGAATTTTCGGTATGTTACAGACATTGATCTACTGAACAGATATTCCATACAACTAACCTCAAAAAATGGACAGTTTTTCCGATATTGATATCTCCAAATTTCATTTTTTCGAGAAAAAAAAAATCTGAAAATTGCTGAATTTTTGGTATGTTGTAGATAAAAATTAACTGGTGAAAAAATTCAATTGACCCAACCTCAGAAAATTTTTGCGATATTGACTCGGATATTGATCTCCGATTATAATTTTTTCGAGAAGAATATATCTGAAAAGGGCTGAATTTTCTGTTGTAGATGGGAATGAACTGATGAAAAAATCCATTATACCTATCTTCCAAAAAGTGACAGTTTTTTCGATATTGACCTCCAAATGTCATTTTTTCGAGAAAGAAAGTATCTGAAAATGGCTGAATTTTTTGTATTTTCTAGATAGAAATGAACTGATGATAAAATCAACTTGACCTAACCTCAAAAAACTTAAATGATTTTATTGTCACTGCATTGGGCATGGAAGTTTAGTTCTTGTACCGAATTGCATCATTATATCACATGGCGTTTCGGAAATATTCAAGAGATATCATCTTCAGGAGTCCCCTTTCAGGGGGCCGCAGCTACCTTAGAAGCTATTTTTCGACTCATAGTCATCGAGCTTTACTTCCTATATTTTACTGTAGAAGCCGTCGGTGAAGTGTGTCAGGATGATTTCGGGACACCCTGTATACGCCAATGATAACATTATTTCTCTTTGTCAACCAGTTCGTCAACCAATTGTCAACGATACATTTTTATCGAAATTCTCTGATAAGGATTTATACCTTCACTTCATAATTGATTTGTTGTTGTGAAGGATGAAAAAAAATTAGGAAGGAATAACAGGAAATGGTTATTGTTTTGTGGTGTTATTACATCTATATAGGTTCACATGGTTTGATATATTGAAAAAGGATGGTTCGTCAATATTTTCTATTCGCTTGTACGATAATAGATGTAGCCACACACAGGGGGTTTCACATTTCAAATAAAGTTGTTGGTTGTTCCTCCTATACGAAGGATCATATAAATTTTGAATAATCCATGAATTGTTGGGTAATATACATTCACCACAAAATATAACTGCAGCAGTTTTCGTATTTTTTTATTCAGATTTCAATTCATTGTGATGTATACAGGGTATGTTGAAAAAACTCTGTGGTTGCTCATGGTCCTACAACTATACCTTATACCACCTATAATCCCGTGAACATTCATAATTTTTCAAATTTGATTGTGCTTAATGGCTTAATGCCATTATAAGATCCAGATAATATATATATCCGTTTTACGTCCTGCAAACAAAATGTTTCTCATAAGTATAACCCTTTCTTAAGGAACCAATTGAGACAACATCTCAAATTTTATACGGCATTCAACATGCAAGGTTGCTCTTCCATACATCCCCCTGTATATACTCTGTATATAAGTTTCTCCCTGCTTTTTCCTGCATTAGTGTTTAGTTTTTGCAGTATATGTTACATCAATAATTCAAATTGGCCCTGGATATTATTTTCTTAAAATTTTGGCATGGCGTATGCATGAAATAGTTTTCATAATAATTAAGTAATACAGTAAATTTTCATGATGAAAACTTGTACAACGTTATTGGTTACTACAACGTTTCCAGATCTCGGACCTCGGTATTGGTATAGTAGGTACACTCCTCATCAGTGAACATGTCGCGGTTGGATGGTATGAGCGCTCTTATTGCAGCGGTGAATAAGAGAGCAGAGAGCTGACACCGTTCATGTGCGACATGTCTCTGACTCTGGAGACGACTGTACGATGTGAACATTTGTACAGACTCCGGAATAGTATTTTTAATGCATCAAGACTTGCAATTAACCCATTCTACATCTACGTGAATAGTTCACCATTCATTTTCTGTAGATTTAACGATTTGTTTTTCCCAGAATTGAATTAGTGAAATAAATCAGTGGGTATATAGATAGCTCTTTGAGAGAGTTATTTTTTCACCTAAAGCATTTGGTGGTTTATACTGATGACTGGCCTGAGCATTTTATATTTCAAAGTGATATTTTGGTAATAACTGTCCAATAACCGTCAGTCAACATAATATCATGAAAGATTTGTCTTGATCAAGTGGAGATTCGATATAAATATGTCAAATTATTTTACCGTTCAATGTCAAGATTATTTTAGAAACGAAATATAAAATGCAATATGATTGAATGCAGCAAATCATATTGGACAGATCAGGTCAGAAAATGTTGACTCGATTCAAAGATAAAATTGCTTGATACATACACAAGTGCAAAAAAATATAGCCAATGAACAACAAAATATTCTGATGATCGCAAATGGTGTTCCAGATGCCGCATCATCAGAAGATCTTGAAAGTAAGAAGAAGACTTTTTTTGGTATTATTCAGGATAATATCCAGTAGTTGACATTAAGATATGAGTACGGAATTTCACAACTGAATTTTTGCGCTTCAGTGAAGGTGGATATAGTATATGCCTCGGTATATGCCTTCAGTCCTATATATCCGCCTATAAAACCATTAGATATGAATCGTATTTTTGTTGTAGGTCTGGTAGTTACTATTGTTAACCATTGTAACATTATGTAACAAATCATCTTATTATTGTTTATTTGGATGGATTATATTTTTTCCAATTCGTATGTTATGTTATTAGTATCTATGAGGAAAAAACAATGATTGATTTAATTATTTTGGGAGTACGCCGATCACACTGCATCCAATGTTATATTTCAAGTACCTATAAAGGTATATTTATCTTCTGGAAACGAAATATTCATGATGGAAATAACATACCTAATCAACATTTATGAAATATTTTTACCATCGGTTAGCCCCGAATTGGAATATCTACACAGAACCTATCGTGTACATGAATGTGAATTAAATGACATAAAATTAATTTCCAGCCATTGGAATTAAAATGATTTATGATTTTTGTACGCTTCACATACCTTTTGGTTTAATTCGTTTACCCAAAATGAATATGCATGTAATCTGGCTGTTTAGGGCTATATTTCTATTTGTTTAAACATACTGAAATAATTGTGTTGAAACCAGGTGCATCATGTATTTGATATTATTTCCGCCCTAGATGCATTAAAAATCATGTCATTCCCTACGGGTAGTTGCCATGGTCATTGGTATAAAATTGAGCGAAACATTCAATATTTTTTAGGGCGAAAAAACTGACGTTATGGAGTTGATATGTTTGCTTATCTGTTGAAAAATAATTTCTGTGCCAAATAGCAATGATTCTGTAGTCGAGTTACGACTGTAAAATAATTAAATATTTTGTTTTCACTCAAGCAGGCCCCCTAGAATGACTCAATAACGATGGTTACGTTCGATATTCAAACGGCACACTCTCGGGCACACTATACAAGGTCTGCCAACATACTTGAGCCCTAATCAACTGGTTTTTTTAGGGTTGAGTTTCTGGAGAGGGCTATTTTGACAGTCAAGCCATCTTGATATGTCCATCTTGCTCCTAACTACTTTGAAGTTTCAAATGGAACTACCCAGAGAACTACCCTATACTATCAACATATCATTTTAGAGCCCTCTCTATTGCGAATAAACTGGGGTATTGGGAATTGTTGGCATTGGATTGATGAAAGAGGTAAGTCGAATGGCCACCAAGATCACCCGATCTAACCCCTTGGGAATTTTTTCTGTATTGACATTCGACATTGCGCCAGTATACGCCATGCAGCTTGACTAGAGGTGTTTTTATTGTTTGCAAGTTAATATAAGCAATACCCTGAGAGAACCCTTTTTTGTTCTGCTGAAACTTTTTTAATTTGAGAGCCTTTTCTTATTGTTAAATTTATCGACACAGAAAAAAAAGAATCTGGTTGTGCAGTAGATACAAAGCTCATTATTGGTGGAAGTTTCAAAACACGCATGCATAATATGTACCAATTTTATTCTCAGTAAAGAAGGTTTCAAAATTGTATTGTATTGAAAGTAGGGCAATTTCATTTCAAATTAGAAGCTGCTATATAGGGGTTAGGTTTCAAGTGGGTCTATGACTTCGTTGAATGACCCTGTTTACTTGGGCTCAATTGGAATCTCTTTTTATCGGAAATCAGAGGTTTTCATATATATACTCCGAGAATATCATTGGGTCTCCGACACAGATCAATCCCGATATTTTTATTGGTTCCCATTCGTGTTGTTCACTTGAGCCGTTCTGGAAAATCCGGATTTTCCACGGTTTGCTGACAATATCTGTTTATAAACAGAAATCAATAAGGATGCACTGGAAGTATCCTATATCATTCGGAAAGAAACGAAAATTAATTTCATATTTCCAGTTATACGAGGATAGCAGAGGAGAAAAATAAAACGAATACAAGAATACGAAGATAATTTTAAAATTGGTTTCGGAGTATGTACGAGACGTTTCGAAAGAAGGCAAGAGAAGCCATGAAACAAAAGATCAGATTTCCTTTTATGCAACCATCGTCAATCTTTCCACCACGGTCAAATTATTTCCAGTAGGCATATCACTGTAATATACAGGTTGTCCCGAAATTACATAGAATGATTTCTACCACAGATTCTAGGAACAAAAAATAGTAAAGAAACTATATTTAAAGATTGGTCCAGAAATGGCCCTCTGGAGGACACCCTCTGTGATAAAATAACCAAGTTTTGTACGTGTATTTGCCCAATTTGAAATTGTTCATTTTCCGGAATTTTGATCAGGGGCGTGGTTTTTTACTTAAAAATGGTACTCTTGTTTAGTTTCGATAGCACCCACCGTTATTATCATTAGATAAAACGATTTTAAAAGTCTGATGGGTATTAAAAATAGTGCTTTCTCCTCGGCTTCTTTCGTTTGGGTCGTACCGACGTTTTCCAAAAATTATGGTTTGAGAAAACTCAACATCTACTTCTTATTCATGTTTCGAAATATGGATAAATAATAATAATAGACTGAAAGATAATATGGTATGTACCCTTTAAAGAAAAAGTACTATTTTTTGTTCGCAGCATCAGACTTTCAAAATCCATTTTTCTCGAAAATGGTGTTCTTCTTAAATTTCTGGAGGTTATATGCCTCGGGGAACACCTTCCTTGGCAATGTGTTCCAAAGCCTCGCTGAACGAGTCTTTGGAAAGAGATGTTCTGCAGGTCTCCAAAGTGACCACAAAGGAATGCGAAGCCGCAACTCGACGGGTTAATCTCGCGGGGACTGCCAAGAGAGGAACAATTGTTGATATTTCAGAAGAGCATCGTCCATGAAAATATCTATAAAATAGAGCAAGATCGCCAACTTTTCTACGGTGTTCGAGAGAAGTGAGTGAGTTTGTGAGCGAGGCATCACCCACGAGACGAATTGCCCTTTTTTGGACAGAATCCAACAGTTTCAGGGTATGTTTGGGTGCTGCACTCCAAATATAGGAACAGTATTCCAGAATAGGTCGGATCTGTGCCTTATAGATCATGAGCAACTGACTGGAAGTGCAATAGCTCCTGGCCCGAAACAGAAAACCAAGTTTTTTTAATGCACTTTTAGCAATTGATCTCACGTGATTTTCCCCCGAAAGGTTATTGCTGATAGTAATGCCAAGCATCGAAATGGATGTCTTCAAAGTTATGGTTACTCCTGACAAGCTTATGTTGGGCACAGTGAGACACAAACTAGAGAAAAGGCATGCTTGTGTTTTTTTTGCATTGAAATCTACCAAGTTATTGGATCCCCATTCGAGAATTGTTGCCAAGTTCATATATTGATGTTGTCAACATTTCTCCCTCGTTCGTTTTTGATTTGGAAAGTTGTATTTTCAATTATTTAATCTGTTGAAAATATCGAACTTGGAAAAAACTATGACGTAGGTACCTTATTTACCATAAATATCGAAGAAATAACCCACTGCGACGCAACTGGAATCATTATTTCGAACCTATTTACACCAAAAGAAGCTTCTTGATATTGTTAACACAAGTTTCATTAAAATTGAAAAAAGAGTTATTGATTGAAAAAGGGATTTTTCATTATTATTATTATTATTATTTATTTTTTATAATTTCTGGAGCTATGTTTGTATAAAGTTTTCGTCTTAGAATCACCCGAAAAATCACCCCTTGAAGTTTGATGGCCACATTCTTAGATAATACCATAATACCCTATATAACTATCACAGATTTGGTTTGTGAATCCATCGAAACAATCTCTGCCGAAATCTCTGCGGTTTCCTCACAGTAACCAAACTCAATTTTCATATTCATAATAATAGTTTGACCCTATCTATGTATCTAAGTCTATGGTAAAACAACTGTTTTGCCCTGTTATGACTTGGCTTTTATCGACTAGATCGTGGTGGAATAGCGAATGGCATTCTGTTGGACGATATGGCTCGAAATGTGGCTCTACCCCAGACTCATAAAATGAACATTTTTGTCGAGATTTTTGTCAAAGAAATGAAACATGAAACGAACAGTGTTGTGGTGACCTGTACCTATGAGTGGTTCACTTGGTCGTTGGCATGTACAAATAATATTGTGGGATGTTATTTAAACGCCTTTGCCTTCTGGTACTTCTGGTAGGTATTTTCACATAAACAGATTGAATTATTATGCTGAATCGGTTGTAACTAATCATCGATAAGTGTTATTCTTGATACACGATGTTTGTGTTTATTGTTTGTTGTGCGTTGAGTTATGGGATTAGTATAATTATATACCGATACAGTGGTATCTTCTGGAGAAAATGTGATATCGGAAAAAATCTGCGAATTTGGTTTGCATTGATGGCATATTTTTATTCGATAGTAGTTTATGACAGATATATAGGTGAATACATAAATCGTGATTCATTCATAGGTAGGTATCTTTCAAAAATGTCTAGTGATGTTTCGTGATGATTTTCTCTTTATCAATTAGGTATATGACAAATGATGATATAGGTATATTAGTATCAGTTTATCGCGAATAATTACTTATACCTCCAAACTAAACACTCTTTACATTGTTATTCATTTATAAACTTGGTATGAGTGTATTCAGGAAGACAAGCTATTTTTGGATATATTATATATACAGGGTGTTTCATTTTAAAATGTCAAGTTCAGTCCCTCTCTTAACCGGAATTTGATTGAGTAATAATGCTCTCATCACTCGTCTAAAGCGATGTTGATGAATAAATCAGGAATTGTTATGATAGCCCTGAAGCCCAGTTAAATCATTCACATTGTTTTAGCGTACTTGATTTCTTTTCCGTATTTTGTTCAATTGGCGGGATGAAATTTCTTGTTAATTAAAAGAGTTAGAACAAATCTGATATCATGGAAATATTCGTCAGACTGTGTGTAATTGATGTGCTGAATTTATGTACTTATTTCGAAAACACCTCGTATTGCTCTCGGCATTACCGTATTTATAGATTCAACTGAACTGAGAATTGAATTTTCTACTTTTTCAATGTTGGTCTGGTTAACTTTCAATTAAACAATTGAAAATGAAGAATTTTTCGAAAACTATATCGGTTTGTTATTGGTTTCAGGTTCAGGTTTTCGGTGCTTGCTCCTTTTCGATATTTTATTGAAATATTTTATATATATTTATATGGATTCATCGAGGGATTCATGATGCACAAAAACAATGTTTGACCTTCATAAATATTGTATTGTCAATTGTGATTATTAATTCCTCAATAACATCGAACACGGTATCGATGAATTTGTAAGTATTGAAATTCCCTATTGCCTATGTTATACAGGTTTATTCGAGAAAATTAAGTTTAGGTAGGTGTGAATCTTTTGGAGATGAGGTATCTAACTGTTTTCGGCGTTTTACGACTTTCCCTTTTCCAACCTAGATATTTTTTCTCGCTATCCAAAATTCGCAGTAGGAATAGTTCAGGAAATATTACGGTGCGCCTTTTTCCAAGTACAAGTATAGGTATAGGAGAGAATATACTTCATTATCGTGAGAAATTAAATTCTTGTTGACAAAGTTTGCTTATGTTTAAAAAAATATCAAATATGAAGGTACCTATGCCTATACTATGATGAAAATGTGATGTACCTACTAAAATAGAATATATCAATTTCATACGTTAGTTTATGTAAAATGAATTGAAAAAAATAAAAACGAACCGCAATACATATTAAATACACAAACAAACAACAAACAGAATTTGTATATAAAAAACAGATAACAAGTAAACAGAAATCAAAGAAGTATTAGAATGTGTCAGAACACAATTCCTGTAAATTATAATAAGCTTTATGAAACAGTAAGTTTTCCACAGATTTTCTAAAAATGTTCAAATTGGCAGTGTTTTTGACATAGCTAGGTACATTATTGTACATCTTGCAGCCGTTGTGAATAACAGAATCTTTATTCAGTGATAATTTAGGAAGTGGCAGACTCACGTTCATAGCTTGTCAAGTGACATATAGTATGAAGGAAGTTTGTTAAACGTGTTCAGATGTTTCCTTATCAAACAAACGGTTCCTAATATAAAAATTGCCATTATCGTATTTTATATTCAATGAATAAAGACTTACGGGAGTCACGACTTTTAGCTGTCTAGCAGCACCAATCCCACCTAATCCCAACTCCTCTGAGACAGTCTTGACTGCAAAACACCCAGAAGATTTTTTTTCCTCAAGGCTTGACTGAGGAGAATCTCGACTTAGTATCAATAAACAATCCTAGGAATAATTTTGTGATGAGTTTACGTTCAATGATATTTGATCCAAGGGGTATGTCCTCAAGTGAGCATCTTAAGGTTAAGGAGTTTGGTAGGTATGTGGTATGAGGTATGTGTGTATGTGTATATATTATATTATTGTGCATATATACCTTTGGGAGTTTTTGTTCTAACTTTTTGGTGGTTTTTGACAGACAAGTTCAAGGGCTCATTAACAACATCAGCAGGTACAGCAGTCATGGCAAGGTCTTCCCGCGAATCCTGGCAATATTGTCCAGCACTTCTGTTCGGCAAACCAAGAATGTTCTCGATATAATGAGGTGTAGGTTTGGTGGAAAGTCTTCTGTAAACGTGCTCGTGCCAGGACAGCCTGTCGAAACTAACACTGCAACTTTCTAAACTAGCACAACACTCGGTATCGTTGGCGGGAATAGGAGACAACGTGTTGATCTGGGTGGTCTGTGGGGGGTGAGTAGGTGAGATGAGGTATTCTTCGTTATACTCCGAGGACATATCTAAAGACCATGGGTGATTCGGGTAAAACATGGGTTTCAGAACATAACCGACGTGGATTTGAATGAATGCCGCGTGACGACGCGCAGAATCAGACAGAGAATGTGAAGACGGTCTCTGGCCACGAAGCAATGATACTGACACTGGCGCGAGCTTCTGGACAAAAGCGTTTCTGAAAGCTCGCGCTAAATTGTGATGGGGGTGCGCTACTCGTTCGGCGCAAATACTCTTTCCAGCTTGAGCTTCATTTACAAATTATCACCGTTATATCGGCTATTATCAAATCATCTTTGCGATTTTTCCGGTTTTCGCTCGCGCAATATTCTCCAGTCGCCATTTATCGAGGTTGTTTACATGCAAGCATTTTCATATACTTGTCGTTTCATCATATTATGTATATTTACTACGAAAGCGCTGAACGGACATGCTACTTTTTTTTATAATTGCCAGTTTGAACTGGCAATTAGCTATAATTGCCAGTTTGAACTGGCATTTAGCTATAATTGCCAGTTTGAACTGGCATTTAGCTATAATTGCCAGTTCGAACTGGCAATTAGCCATAATTATTGCCAGTTTGATCTGGCAATTAGCCATAATTGCCAGTTTGATCTGGCAATTAGCCATAATTACCAGTTTGATCTGGCAATTAGCCATAATTGCCATTTTGAACTGGCATTTAGCTATAATTGCACACTAATTTGACATTACATAAAATATGTCTATAAGAAAAGAATATGAAAGAAAATGTGGCGACATACGACCGGAACTACGCCACTGGTTATCAAATTCAAGAATGGAAACTCCATGTAATTAACTTGATTGTTTTGCAGAGTAGTAGTAGTATTTTTACTTCGTTGGTGTGTATGTATACAGGGTGGCTCACAGTGGATGGCCTATTAGAAGTATCTGAAGAACGAAAAGACAGAACATTCTGAAAATTGGGATGCTTTGATAATTGAACATTCTCTATTCGTCTAGAAGGTTTTCATCGATACAGTGTTGCCACTCCTATCAGAAACGACTAGCAACTTTCTTATTTTGAATGGAATTGCATTGCATTTTGTTAGATTCTTCCTGAGGAGCTGATTTCATCGATGTATCATATACTTGGGGTCAAGCAGAAATGATTACAGAAATATTGGGTATTCAAAATCTAGATTTTTCAATTTTAGGATTTTTTTGTGTCGAAACTATTTATTATTGATCAAAACGGCGTACATGTCCCTATTTCAACTTTTGATTCACTATCTACTGGAATTTAACTGGAAAATAAGCAGGGTGCTTCAAGATTCAGAATTCTGATCACCCTGTACCTGTTCCAATTAAATGTCGGTAGATAGTGGATCGAAAGTTAAGATAGGAACATGTAAACCGTTTTCATCGATAATGGATAGTTTCGACACAAAAAAATCGCAAAATTGAAAAATCTCGATTTTGAACACCCTATATATCTCTGTAATCATTCCTGCTGGACCCCAAGTGTGATACATTGATAAAATCAGCTCTTTAGGAAGAATCTGAAAATGCAATTGAATACAGAGTGCTCCATTTAAAATGAGGAAGTTGCTAGTTGTTTCTGATAGAAGTGGCAACACGAATGGAGAATGTTCAAATATCAAAGCACCCTAATTTTCAGAATTTTTTCGTTCTCCAGATATACTTCTTATAGGCCATCCACCGTGACCCACCCTGTATAGACACCAACTGGCAATTGGCCTTACGAGAGGTCCTTCAGCCATGTGTGTTCTGTGTAGGATTTGTTAGTGACTCCACCTCAGAAGTAGCACTGTTAATTGGAACGCAACAGTAAATCGTGTGTGAAATCATATCCGATCGAGGCTGTGCAGATTAGAATTTACAACTCATTTTAGAAATTTATAAAAACCTTGATTTGTTTCGTACTTTTGACAAACTTTATCTCAGGGAGAATGGATTTCAAGACATACGTTGAAAGGAGTTTTTCACCTCATAAGGAAGTTTGTCTGACTGATAATATCGATATTTCAGCTATGGAAACCTAGAGAAGATAGGAGGAGAAACGATGATGAAATCATTCCACCCAAAATATTGATGGGAATTATTTTTGAAATCATCAAACGTATATATCCTTCATTTCATGAATACCTCACACAATGCAAAAAATACATATATTTATATTAGAAAATGGAGATTTATATCTCACAGTTGATTATCAAAATATGATCGTGAGTCACGAAGACCTAATATTTCGCCAAATTTCAAATCCTTGCGTCTTGTAGATTACCAGAAAAATATGTCTGTGATAGAACACAGATTAGCACAGGAGTAAATTGCGAATATTCGTGAAATTATGACGAATAAGGAAGAATGATTAGTATATTCGGAATCTGGACGCGTCGTGTTGTGCTGAAAACATCGGGTGTCCCATTTTAAAAAATGTCTTCCGTTGCTGCCACTCTGTATCCAACACTTCATATGTGGCAGTAGATCCCACGTAACATAATATCTTATTCATATTATAATGAACCCTTTTCTCTTCGATTTCTCTCACAATGAAGCAGTAAATACACTAACGAAATGTAAACTTCACAATTTCCCCCCGTATTTCTTCACCGAATGATATTAAAAGTCCAGTTGTGCCAATATTTAGCCCATGCCATGTATATCCGTTTTTTTAATACGCTGATATTAGCTTGGTATGTATGTTTGTAACCCGGAATCTACGAACGTGATGATGTTATCTCATTTCAAAACGGGAAAACGTAGAATTGAATTGAAACTACGCACACTCATCCAGATCTGATGACAATAGCAATCGATTAATTTTCTTGAATTAAATGGTGAATCATGTTCCGCCACCAAAATACCAAAATGTTCTTTCACCAAATATTGAAATGTTCGTTTCTCGATGATTTTCTGAAAAAAAGAAAAAAAGTGGCTCTTGTAAACAAATAGAAGAGCTCAAGTTATGGTTGGTCTTGTTCATTCATGCGTTTTCAACTCCCAATGTGGACTTTTACAGGCAATTTCTATTTGTAACATTGAAAAAGATATCGTAAGAAGAAGCCAAATGAAAAAAAAGGAAGAATAATTACTATTAGTTTCATCAACCTTGACCTTCCAAGGACCTTACGTCACAGAAGTGTGATCTGGTGCACAACTCTTGTATTTTGTATACTCCCAATGTGGACTTTTGACTCGCAATTTTTACATTAACAGAGTGAAGAAGATATCGTAGGAAGTATCCAAATTAAAATAAAAAATAAATAGTAGTTTGAAAAAACTAAAGAATCACTATTTTATTGATAGTCCAACTAAAAGAAGATAGAAAGTGATTGTAGTTTGGAGAAATAAAAAAAATAACAGCCAAAATTTAAAAAAATCAAAATAAGATGATGAAATTGTGTTGATATATACATAACATAGAAAAGGTGCTATATCTATGTCGTGTCGTATGTTCAAACAAAAAAACATGAACATATTCCTAATTCATAATTTCCAATGACAATATACAATGGGTGCCATTTGAAAATAAAAAGTGGGGTTAGCTGCCAGAGAACTGTCAAATGTAATAGATTTTTTTATGTCATTATAGGAAGGCACTTCAATGCCATTCAATGCAGTTTTCGAATTCTTCTAATATCTTGCCAAATAAGCGAGATATCGCCTGTATTCGATAACTTGGGACACCCGGTATCTACCACAATATGTACCTGTCTTTAAAAATTAGAGTCAATCGATTGTCATCAATGGCACCTTGTTTTGAAAAATATTCATGTTCATGTTTTCAACATAAAAAATGGAAAATCCTCTTTGTCTAGAATTTGATGAAAATGGTAAATTGGCGGTAAACTAATGAAAACATCCTGTTTGCATCAACCTCTGTCACTGAGAAGTTTCAATATTGAAATGAGAAGGTAATTGGAGAAGAATAATAGGTAATTCCAGTACTTCAGAAGAATAATAGGTATTTTCCATTTCTTCATTTCTGGTAGGGGGCGAAAAAACGATTCGCGAAGATCTCCACAAAATTCTCGAAATCACGGCATGATTGGCTATTATAACTCTCAGTGGTCATAATAGAAACGTCACGGAAATCGGTTCAGTACTTCCTCAGGAATTGGAGACGAAGCGGGTCATAGCGGATTTTAAATAATGGCGAAGGTTCTTTACACCAATTTTGGCGTACATTGTAATTTATGGTGAGCGTATTCGCCAAATCCTTCAAAGGCTAAATTGATACAAGACGTGAGTGTTTACCATTATTGTACAGGGCAGGGGAGTCCGTAGAAATAATCTCAGAGAGGAAGCAAGTCACAATAATAATGTTAGTGATTTATTATACAAGGGAAAAAAGTATTTGATTTTAGCTCGAGGGCTAAAATCAATTAAAGCCAGAAAATTATCGATGTTGAAATATGAAGTTTGCAGGCATCTTTGTTGCTATGGAAACGTTTTGAAGTAATCAAATATATCTCAATTTAATTCTGTGATTTGATTCTAAAAATTCTAAACTTGGTTGTTCAGTAATTTACATAAACGCGAAATGGAATGTAAGATAAAAAGGACTTTCCCAAAGACGGTATTATTGGCAAAATAACAGACATTAACAGAGTACAGAGTACCTATATATATCTGGGAAAAAAGTAACTAACTACTAACAGTAAGTAACTCTTTGAAACCTGTCAACAGGGAGGAAATGGCACACGTTTTTCCCGTCACAGAAAAAACAAAAGAGTTTCAGGGAAAGAAGTTGCAATTATTTCGAATATATTATGGATGGAAAGATAGTTTTATCGTATCGAAAATTCCTCCAGACTGAAGTTCATTCACTCGTCATCATTCATTTTACGAGTATCGTGTAAAACTGCTTAAGTACTAAAGTTTTTTTCAAAACTATACAATCCTTAATTGACTGAATACTTCCTGTTTAAGCTTTTTTATCTAGGATCTAGAACATTAAATTTATTCAGCATTCAGACAAAAGTCGAACAATTTGAAGGCCTCATCAGAGTGAGTGTTTTATTTCGTCTTTTATTGCCCTTACCCACTTCATGTCTGGCTTCAAATGCGGAAACATCCTGTATAATAAATTCTATCATAATTAGCTACCTGCACATATTAGAGGAAGCTGAATGTACCGTCAACTGTCAACCGGGGATATATCGGACGAGATTTTCAATTATATGCCACTAGTAATGAATTTATTAAAAAAATCTTTCAAGTTATTATTTTTTTGAAGGACGTCTAATGACCTAACC